TTGTATTAACAAAATCCAAAAAGTATGAAGTTTTGCGATATGTAAGAACAAAATTGCATGAACAGAAAGTAATCCCCAAATTTCTAGAGCAAAACAAATGGGGACAAACTGTATAAACGTGCTAAAATCCAATACTGTACAGTAATACAGTGGGGTATGCTATAACGAACGGATCCTACTACGAATATTCCTATAACGAACGGTTTTACCTATAAAATTGAGAATGCTATAACAAACGAAACTCCTACAACGAACATAATTTATTTATTTTTTCCTAATTTATTGTTTTATTATTACAAATATTAATGATATTCTTTATTTCAGGGGTTTAGATGCATATTTATGCACTTTTTTACAATTTTTACAATTTTATACAGTTGTACCCCACTTAACGCGGTCAATTGAACCCAGAGGGTCCCGCGTTAAGTGAAATCCGCGTTAAGTGAACAACAGAACATATGGGATTAATTCCAATAGAAACCGGCCCGACCCCCAAACTCCACTTTTTGAAGGCACATACCTATGTTGTAGTAAAAATAATGGACTCAACTCCCTCCCACTCTCACACTACACTGCCGGCTCTTCCCTCTCAGAGAAATTTTTGGGGGAAAACCACTAAATTTTAATAATACCTCAAACTAAAGTTAGGATAATACAATTGACATTGCTGGATTCCTTGTAAGACCAGGAATATTTTGAATATAAATGTCATATATTTTGCACAAAAGATAACATAGTTACCTAGAGAAAAATTTTTATGTAAAAATTGTATGTTTAATGCAAAATATATGATGTTTATATTCAAAATGATCACCAAATTATAAGAATTCCAGCAATGTAAATTATATTCTGACCGGGTAATTTGTATGAATTTTATGAGCTAAAACATATATCTTCAGTTAATAAAAAAAAAAATAATTCTTCACAGGGTAACAGATGGTCGGTCGGTCCCTCCCTCCCCACCACCCCCCACCAACCGTCCCAAGGAGATGTGTGGGATAACCACTAAATTTTAATAAATAATACCTCAAACTAAAGTTAGGATAATATAATTGACATTGCTGGATTCCTTGTAAGACCAGGAATATTTTGAATATAAATGTCATATATTTTGCACAAAAGATAACATAGTTACCTAGAGAAAAAATTTTATCTAAAAATTGTATGTTTAATGCAAAATATATGATGTTTATATTCAAAATGATCACCAAATTATAAGAATTCCAGCAATGTAAATTATATTCTGGCCAGGTAATTTGTATAAATTTTATGAGCTAAAACAGGCAGTCAGGCAGGGTGGCGGGTGGGGCAAATCTAAAAATAGCGTCTCAGCCGGACACTCACCGCGTATATGTGGAAAAAATCGGTGTTAAGTGAAAGTTCAGCTCTGGCGAGGCACCGCGTATATGATAAAACGCGTTAAGTGAAACCACGTTAGGCGGGGTAATACTATATATATATATATATATATATATATATATATATATATATATATATATATATATATATATATATATATATATATATATATATATATATATATATATATATATATATACACACACACACACACAATATATATATATATATATATGTATATACTGTATATACAGTGAACCCTCGCTTTACGCGTTTCTACATTTACGCGGTACCCTGCCAGAACCAGAATTCCCACTTTACGCGGTGCATCTACTCATATACGCGGGTGAAGTATAATTTTTTTATTTAGCTCATAAAATTCATACAAATTATCCGGCCAGAATATAATTTACATTGCTGGAATTCTTACAATTTGATGATCATTTCATAGATTTTGCATTAGACATACAAATTTTAGATCTAATGCAAGTATTTTGTTTACTCAGAGCAAATATGTTATCTTTTGTGCAAAATATATGACATTTATATTCAAAATATTCCTGGTCTTGCAAGGAATCCAGCAATGTCAATTATATTATCCTAACTTTAGTCTGAGGTATTATTTATTACTAAAAATGTAAATATACTGTTATAACCCAATCATTTCTCTGGTAGGGAGGGAAGGTGGGGGTGAGGGGTAGGGAGGGAGGGAGTGAGGGACCCAGGGAGCAGGTGGGAAGAGGGGGGAGGTGGGGTATTTTGATTGACAGATAGTATTTCGGTAAGTAGGCTATATTTTGTTTATTTATTGAAGAAATTTGTTTTAGCTCATAAAATTCATACAAATTACCGGGCCAGAATATAATTTACATTGCTGGAATTCTTACAATTTGATGATCATTTTGAATATAAACATCATATATTTTGCATTAGACATACAAATTTTAGATCTACTTTAAGTATTTGGTTTACTCTGAGTAAATATGTTATCATTTGTGCAAAATATATGACATTTATATTCAAAATATTCCTGGTCTTACAAGGAATCCAGCAATGTCAATTATATTATCCTAACTTTAGTTTGAGGTATTATTTATTACTAAAAAGTTAAATACAGTATTCTGGTTTTCCCACACATCTCCTTGGGACGGTTGGTGGGGGGTGGGGGGGAGGGAGGGACCGACCGACCATCTGTTACCCTGTGAAGAATATTTTTTTTTCTTATTAACTGAAGATATTTGTTTTAGCTCATAAAATTCATACAAATTACCCGGTCAGAATATAATTTACATTGCTGGAATTCTTATAATTTGGTGATCATTTTGAATATAAACATCATATATTTTGCATTAGACATACAAATTTTAGATAAAATGTTTTCTCTAAGTAAATATGTTATCTTTTGTGCAAAATATATGACATTTATATTCAAAATATTCCTGGTCTTTCAAGGAATCCAGCAATGTCAATTATATTATCCTAACTTTAATCTGAGGTATTATTTAATACAAAATGTTAAAATTTATTTTTTTCACCCACTCTTTCTCTTGAAGGGAGGAGTGGTGGGGGGTGGGGGGAGGGTTGGGACTGACCGTGCGGTTGGAAGAGGGGGGGAGGCAAGGTGGGGTACTTTGATTGACAGATAGTGTCGTGAAGAATATTTTTTTTTTATTAACTGAAGATATTTGTTTTAGCTCATAAAATTCATACAAATTACCCGGCCAGAATATAATTTACATTGCTGGAATTCTTATAATTTGGTGATCATTTTGAATATAAACATATATTTTGCATTAGACATACAAATTTTAGATAAAATGTTTTCTCTAAGTAAATATGTTATCTTTTGTGCAAAATATATGACATTTATATTCAAAATATTCCTGGTCTTACAAGGAATCCAGCAATGTCAATTGTATTATCCTAACTTTAGTTTGAGGTATTATTTATTAAAATTTAGTGGTTTTCCCCCAAAAATTTCTCAGAGAGGGAAGAGCCAGCGAGTGTAGTGTGAGAGAGGGAGGGAGTTGAGTCCATTATTTGAATGGACATTAACTTGGCGACTGTATTTCTCTTAAGTATTAATTGTGTGCATGTACCATCATAAAATTAAGATGTTATTTTTACTACAACATAGGTATGTGCCTTCAAAAAGTGGAGTTTGGGGGTCAGGCCGGTTTCTATTGGAATTAATCCCATATGTTCTGTTGTTCACTTAACGCGGATTTCACGTAACGCGACCTCTTGGGCGACACGCACGCGACGCACGCACGACGCACGCACGCACGCACGCACACACACACACACACACACACACACACACACACACACACACACACACACACAAGAGAGGAGGCCTTGTGGTCTCTCTGTTAACGAAATTCTGGTTAACAAATTACCTTCCATAAGAATCTTCAATTCAAGTTAACCCATTAATGCCCAAATTTTTTTTCTTTAATTTATTACCAAAAATCTTTTTTTATACAACTTTATTTGATACTAAATATATAAAAAATAATTATTACAATATTCTAAGAAAAAAATACATTTTTAGTTTGGTCCTTTTCTTAGGACCATGGGCATATGGGGGGGTACTTTTGTTCAAAAAACAGGTTTTTTTAAGTAGAATACTTGATTTCAAAAAGGAAAATAAAAATAAAAAGAGCACTCTTTTATTTATTTATTAATCCAAATGAAATGCATATTACTTGAAAAAAGAATAAAAAGTAATTTTTTTTTCTGAACAATCTAAATACAGATTACTTCGAATGCCATTTGTTGAAACATTCACCCATATGAAGACCAACATCACATTTTACACATTGTTTTGAAACTTTTTTTTGCAAAAGGCACATTTTCTTTGTTTCCCTCCCTCTGTTCTATCAAGAATATGTCCAGTAGTAGAAAATCTAATTTCTGGTATTACTTTTGAAGAAAATACCTTTGGCCGTCCAGAATTTTTGGGATCAGAATCTGAGGATAACTGCAAATAAGCTTTTGTAACTGACCTCTTGAAATCTAGTAATGTCAAAGTATTTCCATTTGCAAAACAATATACAATCCAGGAATTAACCATTACAGTATCAAGGAAATTTGTGAATAGACTAAAGTACCACTTCTTAGATCTAACAGAGATGCGATACCTTTGGATAAGCCAGTCTAAGTGGTCCACTCCTCCCATATATTTGTTATACTGGGATATGAGAAATGGCTGAGGAACAAATATTTCCTTTCCATGGCTGGTTGACCATCTTTTAGCATTTCCAACAGAGGTGGCAGACTGATGATTGCTTGCAATTGTGAAAACGCTGTTGTCATGCCATTTCAAAAAAAAGAGTTCTTCCTTTTCTTCAAATTTGTAGTCATAGGATCCACGATTTTCCTTTTTCAGGGATTTGTCATCCTTCAGGGGACATCTGGATGTTCTGTTTGAACGTACTGTACCCGTGATTCTGATTCCTAAGGATTTCATTTGTACAAATAGGTTATAACTTGAGAAAAAGTTATCAACATAAATTTCATGATCATTGGGGTTCTCTAGGTGATTGGTCATTGATAAAACCACTCTTGAACCTAGACTGTCAGCGTTCTTGGTATTGGAAGTAGGATTTTTTTGCTTTCCTTGATATAAATCCATTCCAAAACAATAGGCACTAGTGGCACAACATGGCACCCACTGCTTGAAACCAAATCTTATTGGCTTACCTCTTATAAATTGTTTTAGAGAGCTTCTTCCATAGTATCTTACTATTTGTCCATCTACTGTCTATACATAGAAAATGTTTTCAGCATAAAAAAGTTTGCCTTGCAAACCGTTTTCTCTTTTATGCAACATCCATAGAAAATGGAAAAATGGAGTCCTAGTGACCATGGTCCTTATTTTGGGACCAAACTTTTAGAGCATGCTATATTTGAGCAAAATTACTTTCAAAGATTTTCTTGACTTTATAGGACAGTTAGAACATTCATTCATACTATATACAAATATGGGTTGGATATAAGTACTACTTACCAAAAAATTTTTGATTGAATAATAGATGAAACTGAGTGTATCCTTTCCCTCAAGAGTTTCACACTGTACTGAAAACTGAGACATCAGTGTTGCCAATATACATCAGACAGTAGGTGTAATATTTGAAAGACACTCCAGTCTTGATGACTAACTAAAGATATCTCAGAAAAATACAGGTGTTGCAGAAATATGATGAATTATCCTTCTGGTCCTAAAAAAAGGACCATGGGCGCTAATGGGTTAATGAAAAAATTTTTGATTAACGAAATCCTTACGAAAATCATATTTTGTTTTGAACATCAGCTGATAAGCTGAGGAGGTACTCAGCCAATTCAGTGATCTCTTCTATGTTTACATTCAAACTAATCACTATCTTATAAGAATTCCAGCAATGCAAATTAAATTCACCCCAACACTTCTATTAAATTTTATAAGTAAAAAACAAAAACTCAATCTAAAAGAAAAAATTAACTAACAATTAAATATTTCACACCACAGGTGCCAACTGTCAAACATGTCACTGTCACCCCTCCCTCCCTACCCACCACCCCCACCTTCTTGAGAAACTTTTGGGTAAAAAGACTAAGTTTACAGGTTTAAAAATAAATTATACCTCAGACTAAAGTTAGGATAATATAATTTGCATTGCTGAAATCCTTGCAAGACAGGGAATATTTTTTAATATAAACTTCATATATTTTGCACAAAAGATAAAAATTTTGCTCTCCCTAATAAAATTCTTAAATTAGATCTAAAATTTGTAAGTCTAATGCAAATTTTAGCTTGTTTATATTCAAATTAATCACTATCTTATAAGAATTCCAGCAATGTAAATTATATTCTGGCTTTACTTAGCATATACTTTTGTGTGAGCTGGAACAAATTATCCAATATCCCATTATAACAATGCTTTTGGTGAACAAAATTTTCGGTTAACGAACGACCTTCTGGAACGAATTGTGTTCGTAAACCGAGGGACCACTATGTATATATATATATATATATATATATATATATATATATATATATATATATATATATATATATTACACACACACACACACACACACACACACACACACACACACGCCACACACACACACACACACACACACACACACACACACACACACACACACACACACACACACACACACACACACACACACACACACATACACATATATATATATATATATATATATATATATATATATATATATTGTAGATTACAGCAGACTGAAGAATGGAGATTGGAAGGCTTACTGCTTCAAGCTCGAAGACGAGCAGAGGTTGAAGAGGCTAACAGACTGCTGGGAGCAGTCCACAGAATGCAGTTACCATCTGCTATACAACTACTTCAGTAAGTTCATTGTTTTTTTAAACAATCAAAGACTTTATCTTTTCATATGTATTTTGTGCTATTTTCCTTTTACCACTATACAATAGAATGGTCGAAATGAAATTCCTTGTTGTGGCCTCAGTCACACCAGATACATTAACAACCATCATTGAGTGGGCAAACTAGCTCAGTTAAAATACTTCCAGATAATTAGCACTCTAATTATAGTAATGAAACAATATCTGAACACAAACTTAAAATGACTTTTAGGCACAAACTTAACAAATTATAATTTGTTTTGATTAGTTAAATAACACTAGTTTAACACCAACTTAAAAACCAACACTAAAATTGCACCACATAATGATCACTGTCACTCTATACACCAGCTGACAATACACCAATAATCTTCATCCATGAAACCATAAACAGATGTATGGGCAGACAGGCATTTCCTTCCTTACTCCCCCATTCCCTCATATATGAGCAGACAGGTAAGCATTTCTTCCATCTCTACATCTCCATATATGTGGGCTGACAGACAGGTAGCTCCTTCATCCCTTCGTCACTGTATGTGTCAACTGACAGGTAGCTCTTCCATCCCTCCCTCTCTGTAGTGTGAGCTGACAGACAGGTAGCGCCTCCTTCCATACATCTCTGTATGTGTAAGCTGACAAATAAGTAGCTCGTTCGTCTCTCCTTCTCTGTATGTGTGAGCTGACAGGCAGGTAGCCCCTCTGTCCCTACATCTCTGCATGTGTGAGCTGACAGACAGGTAGCTCTGACATCTCTGTATGTGTGAATTAATGGTTTATTGAAAGAACATGGCAGCCAGAAGGCTAAAAATATACAGTTACATAATTGGGGAATGGGTCACGTGATTGACAAATAATTTGCAAGTAACATAGTGATACAAATATGATATACAATAACAAGATGGGAAGAAGGTCATTCTACAGGGCATTTTAACTTAGTAACAGTGCAAAAAGGTAAGATTGGCTGTGAGTGACCACACTGGTTGATTACGAGTTGTTGATAATTTTTACAATGGTTGGGACTGGGCTGTTCTTATATCGATCAGTGCCTGCTTTTATGGGCTGGATGCAGTTGTGGTGTCGAACAGCTATTCGCAGAGGAGGGGTTTCGGGTGGAAGTAGGAGCCGGTGTTGTGGATGGTGCAGAAGCTTCTCACCAAATTTGCAGATGAGGTCACAGTGATGATCAGAGAGAACCAAGAGAGTCAGTGTGTTGAGCACTTGATATGTAGAGTAGAAGGGATAAAGAATAATCTTGCATGCCCTCTTCTGCACTTTTTCTAGGTGTTTCCATTGTGTGGCATTTTGGTAGGAAGACCAGACAGGTGAGGCATAGGTGAGCTTGGAAAGTATGAATGTTGAGGCACTGAGGAGCTCGGGCGCAGGAACTCCGAGGGACTTGAGTCGGCGGAGGAGGTGGAGACGAAAACTGGAGGATTTGACAATTGTACTGATTTGTGTTTTCTAATTTAATTTGTTATCTATAGTGATGCCAAGGAGCTTAGAGGAGTCCACAACCTGGAGTGTGTTGGGGCCCAAAGTAATGGAAGGAGATGATACAAGGTCAGAGGAGAGGTTGATGTGCATAACCATAGTCTTGGTATGGTTGATAGTGACATGGTTGTTGGTGGTCCAATTTTGGAGATTGTTCATTATATTCTGGAGGGCGTTTTAGTCGGGAGCCGGGTTGTCTTCCCATCTTGGTGTCTTGGGGGAAGCCACGGGTGAGTGACTGAAAAGTGGAGACAGCCCCTTGGAAGCATACGGCTTGGCGTCAGTCACTAAGGAAGTCTGTAAGCCTTGGTATAAGGCTTCTCCGAAATCCGAAGTCGATAGCTTTGTTGATGATTAAATTGTGGTCGACTTGGTCAAATTCTGTGGTGAACTCAATGAAGGCAACAGCCATAGATGTCTTAAGTTTTTCCAGATGGTGATATATGTAGTCGAGAAAGCTGACAAGACAGTAACTGTTGGAGGAATTTTTCATATTGCCAAATTGCTGAGGATCTGTGGTGTCTGCAATATCAGCATAAGCCCAGTCATTTTGTTTGACTGAGGGAAGCATTGATGATGGAGCAGAGAGGTTTAGAAATTTCTTCGGAGAACTCCTTGTAGAGTTTCATTGGTAAGTCAATGGGGGTGGTGGAGCGCTTTAACTTCAGGTTGTCCAAACATTTTGTTACCTCAAATTCTTCCACTAAGTCAGTTGGAAAGGGGGCTGGTAGGTAAGCAGGGATACTGGTTGTGTCAAGCCGGGGGAGCGTCTGGCATATAGTTGCAAAATGGTTGTTTGATTGCTCAGCTGCATCACCATTATTGTTTAGTCCACAGAGTTTTTTAAGCTTACCATACGACTGACTGATGTTGGTCTGCTTCAGGTGTTGCAGCTTGGTTGGGTAGTGGGATTTCTTTGCAGTGCGTATTTCACAGATGACCTGGTTGTGAAAGGACATGTAGCGGGCAGTTGTGGTCAATGAGAGTAAAGACACTGTCTCTCTGCTGCTTAATTCTTTTGATCAGGGGTGTGATCCAGGGCAAGTCAGCTTGGTGTGATCTGATGGACTTCTTGGGGAAGAAGTAGTGGTGAGCTTCCATGCTGGTGTTGGTGTAATTTATCCATATGGTGTCCACGTCATCCACACTAACTACTTCAGTCCAGGGATGGTAAACTATCCACTGCCTGAAGAGACGCACTGCAGAGTCAGTAATCGGCCTGTAGATCTTGATATAGGGTTTCTGCACTTGGCTGGCAGTGAGAATTGGTGACCAGAGCATTGATAGGTGTGTGCTACACCCAATAGGAGGCATTGGATGGGGTGGTTGATACTGGTCCGACATCTCTGTATATTATTTTTGTTTTTTGCTGTTAATTTTCCACAGCATCCTCCTTCCAGTGACTAGATATTATTAAAATAAGTTGAGTGAAAAAACTTGTGACCCAGTAGCATAAGGAGTTGGTCAAGAATTTATGCTCGGTCGCTATCTCTCTTTCTATGAATTTCAGTGTATAACAGTATTTATTTATTTGGGGAGGGGGGATGTGGAGCAAGATTATTGGTATAACTTTTGTATGGTGTGTGCCATATTTGTTTATTGACAACATTTATTAAATTTGAAAATAAATCACTTACAGGCAGCAAGCTAGAGAGGCTAGTGAATCCCTC